TCAGCACCTAAAGGTGGGTGCTGAGCACAGCTGTCCTACTGCTGGCACTGATTTATCTCATATTTTTTTTAGAAGCAGTTAATTTCTTGGAGTCCTACAAGTAGACCTGCTTTTAAAAGAAGGAGGTCTGATTCACAAAGAGCAGGTATTCAGTATTCATTCTTCCTTAGCTCCAAATCCAGCCCATGGGGTGGGGTGTGGGTTAATTCAAAATCATCAATGCCTACGGAAAGTCTTGACCACAGCCTTTGCCACTGGCTTTGAAGTTTGCTGTTAACTGCTGGTTTTTTGTGCTCCCCAAAGTACACAGGCTTTTAGCTTTTTGTCTGCTCTTCCGTGCCTTTCTTTGATGACTCAGCTCCTGAAAGAAGGAAATAATGAACCTATTTTACTAAAACACTTGCTTCTTATTTGTGAGGGATAAATGAAGGATTCCCCTGCATGAATTTTCTAGCTTGGCTGTTACAAGACACAATGTTTGATACGGGAGCAGATGCATCAGGAAGGAAATTGTGGGGAAACTCATGTGGTGCTTGGGATCTCCATGTCTTCACCTTAGCTACATGAGACCTACAAACACAAGACAAGGTGTAGGTCACCAAAAGGGTGACTGACAAAGTCTGGAAGATGTGCATTTGTGGACAAGGAGAAATAACATTGGGGGTGCAAAACCTAAGGCTCTCTGCATGCCCTATATATTTCTGTAAGGGATTGTCAAAGAGAAAGAGATGAGGGTTTGAATGAGACCTACTCCCATGTAAATACTGTGCTGTTTCCAAGTGCTAGCCCAAAGCGAAGCCGGTTGCCTTGCAGCTCCCCCCAGGTGGCTGGAGTCGCTGAAGCCAAAGATAATTTCTTACCTTTTATTTTTTTTATGGCCTTATGTGCTGGAGGTGCACACGGCGGAGGTCTGCAGCAAGATCTGAAAACTCTTTGAGTATCTAAGGCTTGGGCACCTCAAACAGCTTTTCTTAGCAGAACTTAACAAAACGAATTAATCCTGGACACTCGAGTGGTGTAAGGCACCACACGCTACCAGGCCATTTTAAGTTACATTGAAGTTAATGAAAAGACTCCCACAGACTTCAGTGGGCGACACATCAAACCATGCAGCACGGCAAAGCCAAAGCCTCAGCCACGTGCTTACTGTCCCTGGTTTTCAAACATCTTTATTGTGCTGTCCCTATTGAACAATTAAAAATGCTTTCTCACTGGCTGGAGGAATTGAGTAAAAATTGGATCTGAAAACAAAGCCACAATGTAAAACATGGTGCAAATGCGCTGAAGGGGAAATCAAAGCTGTATTCATCGTCTGGGCAGTCAGAGCCAGGTGGAAACAACATTATTTTGGAGATGGCTCAACTGAGAAGTTCCAGGAGTAAGAAAATCTCACTGGCTAATTAGGCTCAAATGGATGTACATGGGTCTGCTCAGAGAGGGGACTAAGTAGAAGTGCTATTTTCTTATGAGGATCAGTACTGAAGTTAGAAACTATTTGGAAATAAACTGCTTTTAGAGGCAAATAGGCTCTTTGGTTTTGGTGGCGCTTTTTTTTTTTTTTTTTTGGCTGGGGGGAAAACCTGCTTTTTCCTGTAGAGCTATTTGCTATTTGCAGGGAAAGAAGTAGCTCATGTTCTGGATCCTCATAGTTTATTACCAGTGAAATGTAGATTTGTAGCCACAGGGCTAGATAGGCATCTCTACGGAAATATACAACTAGAGGGTTTGTACTCTGGTTGTTTTCATTTTTCTTCATATAGACAAGAAGCATATACAAGAAGTCAGACTTCAGTATCCAGTTCCAGGCTGCACTTGGGGAAAGGTCATGGGAAGAACAAAAACCCAGCACACATGTCTCAGTAAATCACCCTGGGGTGAGACCCTCACAAAAGGTTGTTTTGCAGAGCAAAACTCCTTTTGAAATGTAAGGCTGGAGGCTCATTACAGATAGGCACAAAAGTATTTCATTTCCTTCTTGCAAATGGACCCAGAATCGTGATTAAGAAGGGTTTGTGTTTCAAACTGTCATCTCAAGAAACGTAAAGCTTTCCAAGCACATGCATACCTTGATGCTGATGCTCCAGGTAAGAGCAGGACACTGGATTCCACAAGCAGAGTCCGCTGTACTTTCCTGACCTCAACTCCCACCATGTGCTTCTCACACACTACTTCATTATTTTTATATGACAGTGATATGTGGAAGTCCTGCCTGAGGCCACCCTGGCCCCCGGGAGGCTGCAGCCTGGGTGACGGGGGTTCTTCTGTTACACTTCTGATTGTGCTTGCTTGCTTTTCCAGTACCAGGTCAGTGCGATCCCTGCAACAGCCTTTCAAAACAGATTGAAACATTTCCAAAATGCTTTATATATGAAGTGAATAAATGACTACAGAGGAGTGGTGGGATTTTTGGTTTTTTTTTTCAGCAATCTTCCAATTGACAGATTTCTGTATGTAATTAAGGGCTGCATATTCAGTACAATTTCTGGTTTTTTGCCACTTCTGCCTATCTGTTGATTCTGCTAAGGGCTCCTTTTTATTAAGATTCAGGGAAAACCGAGGCGCTTTTTTTTTTTTCTGTGTATACGCATGTGTCTTTTACATTAGCTTTTAAAAGTATGGTTGTTGTGAGCATATTTAATGGCTCTTCTCAAAGATATCTGGCAGATTAGAAAGCAGATGCAATATGCTTATGTTATTAACAGCTGCAGAAGCAAGCACAGGAGAAATGACAGCGAAAAGGGAATTACTTTCCTAGTTACCAAAGAGCAGGGGTGAAAGCTGGGATTTACAGAAATCCATTGAAAAATTCACTGACTCTTTATGGAACAGGGCTCTGCTTCTGCTCCTAACCCTCCCAAGGACAAAACTCTTTAGACAACCTTTCATATGAACACAATAAATTGTTTGCTTCGCCACATTACAGAAATGGCTTTTTTGGTCAGTGCTGCATTTGCAAACTCCTGAGGAAAAGTTGTGATGCAGACAGGTTGTCATGTGCTGTGTGAGCTAATATTAATGCCTGCTGTGACTTAGTCTTGGTACTTAGGGGGTTTTTTTGCTGCTCCTTGTGTAGCACCCGTCTGACAGAGCAATACCAGACTGCCATTGGCTTCCACTGCATCTTGTTTTCTGTCTGAGAAATAGTAATGAGAGCAACCAAGGTGGTTTTTCTTTTTCCTTCGAATTTTTGAATGAGGCCTGCTGTGTTTTTGCAAATTGCATCTTCCTTATAAGTATTTAGGAGCCATAGCTTTTCATATCAGACAACTTGGCATCAGCTTTGAAAAGAAACACGTTATTCTAAAGCAGAAAACTAGATCAGAAAATTGCTTTTGCAGATAGAAACGAAGTCCTGTCGGCTCGTCTAATCCAGTTCTTTTCTTTGGCACTGATGCAGGACAGCTTTCCGCACGGCATAATGCACGGCTGCCTCTGCCAGACGTACCAGCCTGGGCTGCTGTGCTTTCTCAGTACAGCTCACAGAACGAGTGCTGGGCCTGGCGTTTTGATCTTTCTGTGAACAAGCTGGCACGTATCTCCATGTAACGCTCCACTGTAACATGGAAAAGTGTCCTACAGGAGTTCAGTTTGGAAAGGTCATCCTATATTTCATAGTGTCCTGTTTAAAAAATAGCCTGAAAGAGAAGGTGTTTTTCTTTTTTTTTTAAAAAAAGTGCATTTAGCTAGCTAATACAGCAGGCATGCAGAACATAAGCTATCCAACCAACTATGAAACAAATGCTAGAATTAATTGCTTAATTCTCTTTGCATTAGGATAAAGCATATGGTTTTAAAATGTCTTCCATGAAGAACTGCTGAATATGGGAAGCATCTACTATTGCCTTGTACTAAATTGAAAAACAAGTTCAAGTGTAAAGATTGGTGGGGTGATAGCCAAAGGCAAGCTGTTATTTTGTGAGACAATCTAGCTTTAACATTTGTGCGTACAAGTTTGATCCAGTAAGCACATTAAATAATTACCATCTCTGGAAACCCAGGTTTTGTTCAAACCAACTTCTTTGTAGTTCTTAAACTACAGGAAAGAATCCACAGAGATACTTCTTACCCAGCAGCTGATATGCGAGTGCTAGAAGTTTAACTACACCAAGGAATAACAGACTGCAAACTAAGGGATTATTCACCTGTTCCAGCCTGTTTTCTACAAGGCTGCTGTAACGATGATTTATCCTACATTTACATATGGGCTAATGCTGCATTTGAACAGAACCCTGAGCATGCACAGATGTAGGAAGTGGCCTCCTTCATTTTCAGGTAAGGCGGGTGTGCACACACCACCCAGAATGATGCATTCTCTGGATGTCAGAAAAATGCCTCAAATGTGGTCCAGCTTTCAAGCCGATAGCGTGACAGGAAGGTGAGACCTTTCGGCAGGGTCAGTGCCTGTCTCAGCGTAGGCAACCTTCATGAGCTCTGCATGTACAGCTGACCTCTCAGTGTTTCACCAGGAGAGCACAGAGCAGTACCACACCACACGCACAGCACAACGTGAAGCCAATGAAATGACTAACGCGTGGAAAGCTTGCATGCCTACCAGCTACAAAGTGGTGCAGGTGCTTGGCAAGATCAAGACTTTGATCCTGTTCACACCAGCATGCGTAAATTCTCACATCCAGTGCTTTCCATGGGAACACTCATACATGTTTTACTTAAATGAAGGGCACCGCACCATCTGATTCACTGTTTTTTTTTATAATACAGCAGCCTGAGCGTTCTATAAGAATTGGGGTAGAGACTGCAAGTTGACTTTAACTGCAGTGGAAAGCGCACTCTACTAGCTCCAGAAGCCTTCAGGAGTAATGCCTCATTCTTTACCAAACAAACTCACACACTTCCCTGTTGCTGGAACCCGAGCTTCAGTCCCATGTTTCTAACCCCCTTGCCTGCCTAGCACAAAACACTGAACTGTTTACTTAATAGTACTCCTAACCTCAAAGTAACCAGCACAAGCAAATGGCAAGATCCAAGCGCACAGTTAACTCTATCCAGAAACTGTAGGAAGGCTAGAGGGAAAGACCTCCTTTATTTCAACATTTTTATGAAATACAATAATTTTTCTACATGAACAAACATTTGTTTTTGCTGGCAGAAGCATCTAAAAGTTCACAAAACAACTCCAAACACAGATTTAAAAAGAAGCATCCAAACTTTTAATTTAATCTCCCAATCTTGGTTAAGTGGACTTCATCTTTCCTTTGTTTCTTTGAAAGAGGTTAGTGGCTCGGGGCAGTATTTTCTCCAGAAGGTAAACATCTCTCAATGGTTGCACTACAGGTGGCTTTCATCCTTTACTGCCTGAAGTCCAGTTTCAAGTTTGGAATTAGAGATACGTTCCACATGGCTTGCAGCATGGTACTTTTTTCATCTCATTTCTCCAGGGGTGCATAATTCAAAAGCTTCTCAATCAGATCCACATGGGCTAGGAGCATTCTGCGGCAGCAGTATCTCTTCAAACCAAGGGCATCCAGGGCATCTCTATTAATAAAGAACAACAATAAAAAAAAAAAAAGGATGAAGTGAGTCAGAACCACTAGTAAGTGTTCCTAAGCAACATTCTGATTACTTTGAGCTTAGTCATAAAGGAAAACTTGTTTGCAGTTCAAACTAAGAAACAGAAATTTAGCATGTGCTGTTAATGTTCTTTTCCACTTACTGCTGTTGACAGGGTGTTTGCCTGTTCTCTGGCCTGCAGGAGAACGTGATCTTCTGTTGAAGATGGCGTCTAGCTGACACAACTACCAAACTTTCAGAGGTAAGTGTGCAGAACTCCCATAGGAACAGAACTGTAACAGACTCACTCTTATGAATTTCCTCTTCTGAACTACCCCACTTGCGAGGGCATATTTGGTCATGAAACAGCAAGGTTAAGTGAGATGCAAGTATTTTGGGTTTGGAAATACAATTTTAGTCTTCACAGCTGGAAAGAGACTTGAAATATGGTACATTTCTAACCTCAATTATTAGTTACAGTAACTCAGTCTTCCTTTTACAAATGCCAGTCTGTAGAAAATACAAAAGCTGATCTGGTTAAAAATCTTGTCAATCAAGAAGTGTGAAAGTAGTAACAGGAACACAGTTCTGAAACATGGGAAGCCCTTTCCACTCGTCTTAAAATCCTGAACAGTCCATAATTACCTGTGCTGGCTACAGCTCCTGCTAGTGGTATGGTAGAAGGTAGCACGAAGGCACTAGACAGTCTCCTGACACAGGAATAAGGAATAGCATCTCTAAGTACCGTTATAACACAACTTTTCTGTAAACTGAGGATGATACTTGCCTACTTCACAAGACAGATTTGTGATCCAAGCCATGTTAAAGGGTGAGAAATATATAGAAACTAAAATAACTCAAAATGCGAAGTACCCCACATATGGATGGGATGCTAATTCTGAGGAAGGCTGAAATCCTTTCCAGTTCCCATATAAGAAGGCATTCAGGTATACAACCTGTTCCCCACAAATATACAAGTAAGGATGTGCAGACTGCTCACCAAGAAATTTGTGGTTTAGAGTCTTTCCACTTAATTCCTTCTGAGTGCTTGAGATTCTTACGGTTGGGTAGAGAATGTGTGAGTCAGCCTAGCCTAAACCACTGCATGTGCCTTCAATGACTATTGCTATCAGACCTCTTAAAGATAAGTGACACTACCTAAGCTCTTTAGCACTAACCTATTAACCACAAAGCCAATCTGATACTCCTTCAGAATTTGACATTCGTAAAATACGAGTGATTTCAGGTCTTTAGATCTATATGATGCAGTGCAACAACCCAGCATTTGCTTAAGACAAATGTAATTTCCTGAAACCTGTAATTCTCCTGTAGGAAGATGCTGATAGATACTTTTCTAAAGTACAAATGACTGAAAGGAAGCCTCTGCATAAGCTGGACCATGGTAAAAGGTTATTTGGCTCTAAGCAGTACAGTCTAACTGCATGGAGTCAAACTCCAGCAGCTTCTCTGATGACGTCAATTAGTCCTTGTACCTACCAACAGTTCTTCAAGGGCTTAAATAGCAGGGCTATTAATTTTAGGACTAGCACTTGCAAACGTTATTTAAGAGAAGTATATGAACAGTGTATTTTTTTTAAAAAGAATGTTTATGAGTAATATCATGTGGTATCTAAACTTTCCAAAACGCTTGAGAACAAAAGCATCTCATGTTTGTTGATACGTAAGTTTTAAAAGCTATCTGGAAAGTTCTGAATTTTCAAATGCAGTTATCAGAGATGCAAAATACTAACATTAGTCACAACTTTAGAAGTCATACTATACATTTTAGCTAAAACAACTTCAGTTGTATTTCACTTTTCCTCTAGCTTCCAAGAACCTGTGGAAGAAGAACAATTTTAAGGGACAAACAGAAAGGTGTGGGTCTTTTTTAACCACAAATTGTTTAGACAAGTTTATTTCTTCCATTTTGTCCATACATTTCTTAAGCCACTATTATTAGCGATTCTGACACTGTACTGTAAGATGTTTAACTGTTTAGTATCTGTAAACTCTGCTTCTGATCTTACAATATCATAACTGCATTAGTTTGAACAGGCATCCCAGAATCACACCAATGACCATAGCAATTGTTTTCGAGTGAGCATTTATTAATAACAACGTACATCTTCCTGTCCCATATAAAAGCAGAGGAATAATGACGACAGGAAAAGTATTAAAATGTAATACTTGGAAAATAAGTCAGAAGTGCTACCAGGATAGCTCTGATAAATTTCAGTATTAGTGAGAAATGATTAGCAACCTGTACTATTTTAATGCTTTTAACTCCATAAATGAAAGAAAACAATTTTTTTGGTAGGAACTTTCCAAATACCTTTAGTTTACCAGCTGTAATATTCTACTGAACGTTTTCAGATTTACTTTAGAGAAAAGGCAGTGAAATGTGTTGTTAATATATATTCTTCTGATAGTTCATAGACATAAGACCATTTAAAAACCTATTAGTTACCCTAACCACTTGAATGCAAAGCAAATACTCTTTCTACTTAACAGTTTCAACATCACTTCAGGAAGTCTCTCCAACTTTTAACATTTTTTTTCCACTCCTTTGAATTGCAAACATCTGTGGTTTTTTTTCCTTCATACTTAAACTTGACGACAATGTAAATAGTTCTCAAGAGTTACCTTCTCAAACCCTTCTGAAGTAGTCGCACCATAGCTAGACCGTCCTTGAGCTATTAAAAGATAATTCTGGCTATGCAAAGCATGCAAAGACTTCTTAAAATGGAATTGTTAGGACTATCAGTCAGGTATGTAGAACTTCACCTTCACCCCAGCAAACCAGTGCTTTCAAATAAGGTTAGCAATTCTGGGTAGCGAACATGAAATCCTTTTAAGAAAACCTAAAGGGGTATACCTTGTTCACAACATTAGTTACTTCTTCCACTTGTCACTTGTTCTTTCTCTCTCCTTTTAAAAAAACACGTTTGGCATCAAAGTTGACTGCACTGCTTATTTCTCTCCTTCACATTCCATACAGACTTAAATATTTGAGACTGTTTTGGATATAAAGGTTATGACTTGGCAATTTCCATACTACTAATCAGAAAAATTCAGTAGGGAAATGAGTACTTTCTTACCTATTATAATTTCTAACCTCTGGTTAAATAATTAACCTTGGAATGCATCTGTAGTTTTTAGCCTCTTTACAGCTACTTTGTAATGCCATGATCCTGCACTTGATATATCTTATGCACTGTACAATCTCATCTAAAATCTGAGTCAAAGAACACACAGAAATAATACCCACCCTTCTGTATATTCTGCTTGCAGAAGGCCAAGATAGGCTTCCCACTTGTTTCCAACTATCTTGCCGCATGTGAAACATCTGACTGGGATGATCATTTTTGTACTCTAGCTGTAACATTAAAAAATACAGTATCACAGCTCTGCAAAATGTCTAAATGACATGCATTCGAATACAAGAAAGGAAATTCGGAACTCGTACAAATCTCAAACGGCAGCTCAACGGACTACGCGACAGTAATCAAGAGAAGAGGCCGCGTTACGCAGGTGCTGAATTACAGCGGCGCAACGCGGCTTAGGTCGCCCTTCACCAGCAACTGCCAGCC